ATATATTATATATTATATATTTGCTTTATAGTGCATACCATGTCCTATTGACAAACTATTTGAGTTATAAGCCATTTAGGCCCAGATACACCAAGAGGTTTAGGAACAAAATCCAGAAAGTTAAACTGGCTGCATAAATGGGATAGGAAGAGAATTAGTGAGCACCTAATCAGAACACTCCATCATCCACATGATCCTCCACATCATGTGTATTCAGTATCCCTGTGTTTCAAAATAGCAGCAGGGGCACTTTAACTAAAGCTCACTGAACAAGTTTTAGTTAAAGTGTCCCCACCACCATTTTGAAGTATGGGACACTGGATACATGAGATGCTGCAGGTATTTTAATTAGATTGGATCCTGGGAGCTGCTCTAATTAAAACACCCACCCCTCCATCCTATAGCACATGTAAAGATACCCACCTGTAAGCCAAAAAAAAAGCAATCCAAATCAATCACATTGCAGTGGCAACAAAAACCTTTAGGTGCCTAAATTAATTTGGTGTCTCAATTCTGGACCACAAAATGGACTTAAACTTCATAACTTGTTTAGAAGTGTCCCAGTCTGAGCAGCTAAGTAGTGGTTTCCTGCATAAATCTTGCTGTAGCCTTAAATGCATGTAAGGCTGTGCCTAACCTTCATCAGAAGTCCACAATCCAGGAGGCATGTATGTCTAATACATGGAAACAGCATTGAGTTTGGCATAAGAAGCAGCAGTCTCAGCCATGTTTTTTTTTTAAACCACAGCCATAAGTGATACTGCCCATGTTTTACATCAGTGGGAACCAATCTTTTTTGGTAGGCAAGCCACAAATTAGCCTGGCCCCCACTCTGAGTGTCACTCCAAACCCGTTCCCCTGCCCAGTCTGCTGCTCTGCTTCCTTCCTTATGCCCCCGACCTATCTGTTGCTCTGCTTTCTGTTTCCTGCCTTATCAGCTACTGTGCTGCTTGTCCCCTCCCTGATCTGCCCCATGCCACACATAGAGATTGCCGGTGCCACTTACATATCTGTGCCAAGGCCTCCCTTCTTTTACATAATGATCTAGTAGATAGACAGCTCCCCTTTGGAAGTTAAACCTTCCTTGGGAGGGTGGATTTAGACCTACATCTCCTATGTCCCAGGAAAGCGTCCTAAAGCAGTGTTTCCCAACCTTTTCTGTCCCACTGCGCACTTACATAAATAAAAAAATATTGTGGCACACTGCTCCCTCCCCTGACCCACAACAGATAATATTGCTGCTGCTGCCATCCACCACCCCGCACTCCCATCGCTCTGCAGAACAGTGGGGGAGTGAGGGGGTAGCACGCAGCACTGGCTGGAGCCATGCCCTGCCAGGAGCTATACCCCACAAGAGCATTACAAACAGAGTATTCATTTATTAATATATTAGTGACTTTATTAGTGACTTTTCTAAAATTGCATGGCACACCTGTTCATGTCTGGCAGTACACCAGTGTGCTGCAGCACACCAGTTGCGGAACGCTGCCCTAAAGTATAGAATAGTTGGGGTGAGGGCAACTCTGTTGTTGAAGCTGGGTTATTAGGAAGGCAGGAAAAATGAAGGAAGGAAGGCTGCTTCCTAACTTCTACTTGTGCACCCCAAACCCTTGGTTACAGAGTGAAGCCCTCTTTTGTGTGTTGTCCTTCTGGATCAATACTCTTGCATTCTCAGGTGCACAGCGGTACAGCTTCAAAAGGAGAGGTGCAGGGTGTTTTCATTTAGAACAATGTATAGCCTGATGGTTGAGGCATCCTCCCAGGAGATGAGAAATGTGGAAGTGCACAAAGCCTATGTTTTCCATTCCCTGGAAAATGCTCTAACCAGTAGTCTGTTATATAAAAGGTGGCCATCACCAACACTACCATCACCACTCCTTTACAAGTTCTGCACAGGTAAGTGCATACTCTTGGAAGAGGTCTCCATGCTCTATATCCTGAATGGACATAGATTCATTATGTGTAGCATTTAGTCAGGCACTAGGGCTGTGCGAAACAGCACTGTTTTATTTCGACTTCTGTTTCACCATTTCAAAGGAATGGTATTTTGTTTTGTTCTTTCATTTTGTTTTGAAGCACTGTTCCGTTTTGTTTAGTCGAGACTATTTTGCTGTTTCAACGCATTTTGATGTTTTGCCCATAGGCTATAATGGGGAACCATGAAAATGCCTATAACTTTGTCATGTAATGCCTGATTTGGATGAAATTTCAGGGATGGTAGCCCCTTTTGAGGGCATGAAGCCTGCCAAGTTTCAAGGAGATAGGTGCAGAGGTTTCTTGGAAACTGTACCTCAAATTGTTAAAAGCAAAAGTCAAGTCACTTGCTGGCATTGGCGCCCTCCTGTCATCCCATGCACAGATCTGGGGGCCTGTGCCCTGGGAGAGCTGTGGGGCTGTGCCAGACTCCTCGCAGGGGTGAGGGACCCCAGAAATGTGCATGGGATGATAGGAGGCTGCCGCTGCCACCTGGGACCAGTCCTGGGCACAGCCCACACCCAAAGCCTGGAAGACTGATGGTGCTGATGGCCCCAAACAGCAGCATCAGCCTCCTGTCATCCCGCATGCATATGTGGGGCCCACACCCCTGGAAGGAGTCTGGCAGTGCTGGGAGGGCAGGCTGAGCTCAGCAGGGATGGTGAAGCCACTCAGAGTGCCGCCCTTGCTCTCCCCGCCTCCCACCACTGGGCTGCACTCTGAGTGACTCCGCCAACCCCATGGAGCTCAGCTCAGTGGCAGGAGAGCCAGTGACA